ATGATGATAATAATAATAATTCCTTATGTTGATTCGGTGGCGCAGTGGGTAGCACAATCGCCTCATAGCAAGAAGGTTGCTGGTTTGAGCCTCTGCAGGGTCAGCTGGCATTTCTGTGTGTAGTTTGCATGTTTGCAATGTAGGTTTCTCCAGGTGCTCCGGTTTCCCCCACAAGTCCAGAAGAAATGTTGTATGGGTGAATTGGGTATGCTAAAATTTACTGTAGTGTATGTGTTGGAAAGAGAGTGTTTGTATGGGTGTTTCCCTGTGATGAGTTGCAGCTAGAAAAGCATCCGCTGCATAAAACTTATGCTAGATAAGTTGGCGGTTCATTCCACTGTTGCGACCCCAGATTAATGAAGGGACTATTGTGCCAGACAGCACAGCACTTACCAGCTGAGGCCATGACAAACAGAGGTCAGTGGGCAAATTTGGCATGGATGGTGGGGTTAAACCCCTACTCTTTTTGGATTTTTGATGACCACAGAGTCTGGACCTCGGTTTAACGTCTCAAACGAAAGACGGTGCTCACTGAGCAGTATAGAGTCCCCATCAATATACTGGGGTCTCAAGATCCACACAGACCACAGGTTAAGCAGCCCCTGCTCGTCTCATTAACACCACTTCCAGCAGCCACCTACTGTAGCTTTTCCATCCTTCCAACCTTTGTGGTCTCCCATCTAGGTAACCCTACTTACAGTAGCTTCAGTGGGCGACCCTATGAGAGTTGCAGAGAGCGAGCTGCCGGCATTTTGTGTATTGCTAATAAATACTTTAAATATAATTCATGTTGACATTCCGGGGATAGTTCATTTAATGATACAAAACCGCGACTAATTAATGATTACTCATATATGGTGCACCCCTGTCTGAAACTAGTGGCCTGAAAAGTGTGTGGGTCTGCAAGCCTGTATATCTCAAACAGACCAGAACACTTTGAATTTATTACAAAACACAAATACAAAATATAATAATGTAGAGTGTTACAGAATTTACAGCATTTCTGAAGGTTCAGTCCATACATCACTAAATTCAGTCATCAAGCCTCTCTGAAACAAGATTTAAATTAAAATAAAATATTTAATAATTCCTTTTGTTTATCATGTAATACAATTAGAATTGCCAAAAAAATGGCCACTGTATGCACAGATGCTTCCAAAGTTAACAAAACCAAACAGCTCTGTAGTTTTCTGTAGACACTTTTCAACTGTAAGTAAACATTTTCTTAAACAAAATCTTATTGTGAAATTATATACATTTACATTTAGGTATATGTTTAATTTTAACAGCAATAGACAGCTTAGAATGACTATCGAAAATTCAATGAACAGCTGATTGATAGCACCAATTACTCCCTTTTTTGTTCATATTGCATTATACTTAAGTGTACATCACACTGCACATCTACTTCATTGCGACTTTAGGAAAACTCTATATACCCAAATAAGGCCAAATATTTGCATATTGCCCCCCAAGGTGAAGTTATATCCAAACAAGTATTTAAGAAAAAGATCAGTAAAGAACTTTATAATCAGTATAACCTTGGTAACTGCTTTGGGATGGATGTTGGGAGCAGCATAATTTGTCCTGTGACTTGGCCACTTTTGCATAAAAGCTATTTAGAGGCTAATGGATGCAATTTAAAACAAATGGGTTGCAAGTTGCAGCTGTAGCTTTACTGTGACAAGGTGAAGTGCTGATTTATGCAATCAGTTTAGAGAATGTGCACGGAACCTTACAACATACAGTACAAAAAAAAAAAAAAACATAAGATGGTGCTAATTATTAAGTCTTTCATGAAAATGATAAGTGTCTAACAACCTCCACTTCATCAGTAACGGAGCGCTAAAAGTCCTAATTAAGGGTGTTGTCGGTGCTACATCCAGCTGCTTGTTTCTCCCGTCCGCAGTGAAATAAGAAACTTCTCTTGGCTCAAACACCTGGTTTTGCAGGTCTCCTTGCTCTCCTTGAGAGTGTCGTAATTTTATCAAAACAAACGAGAAGTGTGAGCCAATGTTATGTCTCAAAATGTGCCAAACTGGAGAGTATCAGGGGAGATGCAGATTGTTATTTCTGCCTTGCCAGTGAGGTGAATAATTGAAAGAAGCAAGCTGGCAGAAACACAAATATTCTAAAGGTGAAGTGTAGACAACTCCTGTGAGTGAGATATCAGACCACTTGTCAACCCATTAAAGAGCTGGAATTCAAACCCCAGGATATTGTTATCAGTTGACAGTTTTTTTATTTTTTTTATTTTAGCATTTCTGTAAGGTGTAAGGCAAAAGAGTCTGTTCAGAAACAGAATCTGTTATGAATTTTCCCTTTTACACTAAACCATTCCTTAGAAATGAAGTAACTGAAAACCTGAAGTTTTTGTAACTAATTTACTAAAACTAAAACAATGCTTTAGCCAAGAATTGAAATGAAGTCATCGATCATTTTCTTATTCTCTTGTCTTATAAATCAGCATAAATAATATTATTTTATGGAACACAATATACCATATCTTGAAAATGTACAAACAACATTGGACTTGACTGACTTTATAAATATATATATGATATACGATATATATATATCGTATATGATATATACGATATAATAAAATAAAATTCACGTATGCCAATTTTGCATTCTAAAGTCAGCAATACAGGTTTGGAATGACATTACTGAGTGTAAATGATTACAGGATTTCATGTTTAAATGATCTATTCCTCTAGGAGTTTAACTGAACTATAAAAAGTTGGTTGTTATGTCTCTTTGAATTCATAAAAGTCTGCTGTCTCCTCTTGCATACTTTGCTTGTGTTCGTCTCGCCTCCTTTGCAGCTGATATGCAAAAGCCTTCAAGTGAGCCAGCGCTGCAAAAAAAGTCTCTAAAAGAGAGCTATTGATATCTATGAACAATACAAATAAAAGCTTACTGACAGTGACTTATTTTTGAGGCAGCAGCTGTATAAAATTGATACAAATAGCTTACAGAGCTGACGCTGAACTCAAATCATTGCTTCAGTAATAAGATAGATGCAATGCAAAAGCACTCACAACAGTTGTGTCCACTGCCAATGGCCGCAGGTTAGGATTGTTGACTAAACAGCTGGCTTGCATTTGTTTTGCTGGACATTATTGCTGTGTTCAGCGCATAATGCTGGAGATGTAAACTATATTCAGTCAGTAGGAACCTGCATTTTTTCCCCCTTTTCCATAACGCACCCAGATACCCCTCTTAATGGGTGATGATTTTTGTTTGTGTGTTTGTCTATAAACTTGCATTAATCTTAACACATTATCTAAAGTGATAGCTGACCTAAAATGTCAATCTTACCATTCTTTACTCGCCCTCATCTTATCTTTATTATATCACCCTAAGACTTCCTTTATTTAATACAAAATATTTTTTATATTACTTTAATGTAAAAGAAAGTGCTTGCAGCTGTGACAAAACAGTGGCAGCTTTTTTTATTTCTGTCATTAAAGGTTTTTAAGTGACACCGAGGACAGTCAGATAAGCTATATAAACTCACTTTATAATTAAAAACACTGTCTGTATAGTAATACAATAATAGACCATTATCAGCAAACATGCTTGATTCTGCCAATTAATGTTCTGTTTATTGCTCAGCGATGGCAGTATGACAGTGTTAAGGATTTACAGGGGGAATACATCCTACATTATCAACACTTCTTTTTGTAAATCACGAAGACACTAAAGTGGCCCTCAGACATGCCTGTGGTAGAGCTTCCCACGTCTCCTGCATGCCATTAACATGAGTTGTATACACAAAGTGCAAGCAAGAGGCAAGGATAGACGTTTTGGAACGACACCTAATTGCCCACGGTGACCTGCTGATTGATAGTCAGGCGCCACGGCGGGAAACTGAGAACAAGTATGCAGCGAGTTCCGCGCGTCTCTCCCGCCTCGGGGCGCGCTTGATGATTATTTCACGTGCATCCGCAATCATCTGAACGGCGCTCTGACAGTGAGGGTGAGAGGTCGACCGCAATCCAAATCAAAACCCACTTAATATCCGAGTCTACAGTGGACTGATGCTCGCAGATTATTCTGCCGACTCTATGCAATTGTTGCCAATAATATGATGGAGTATTTCAGAGTGAAACATTTTCAATTTAAATAATACTTGTTCGTTAGCGCAGCATAGTCAGCTTAATGCTAAAACACATCATGTAAAACTATTTTTATAAACAAATTAGGCTATATTGTAAAATTCTGCCAGTGTGAATGACTTTTTTATGTTACATGTACTGATGCAAAACATAGTGGGCACCTGTGGATGTTTGTTGTGTCATTTTCATCTACATAAAAAGTTAAAAACACAACCGTGGTCACGTAAACAAGCGTTGTTTTTTAAACCAGAAAACAACAAGGCTGGTTCAGACTGTCTAAATGAGAATAAACATCTAGATAACGTTACAGATATGAACTAGCCATTTATCATCCTGTGTGTGTGTGTTTTTAGGATCATTAGAAGCTAATGATAAACTATCTGTTTTCTTTTGAACATAATAAACTTGAAAAGCTGATCACTTATGAAATGTTGCATCAGCGACTGTTAGTAAACTGAACATTGTTTCATCCCTGTGAACAAGAACGTGCCATATAGCTCATCCAAAACCATAACAGACAGTTTCGACTTTACTGCAGTGAACAGCGATTACATCGACGGCATGCAACTGTCATTTCAGGTGAATATTAACTTGGGATGTATTATTTACGGCATTGAGACTATCAATAGCGCACGATTTGAAAAGATGTCAAATATGAAAACAAATAACTATTTACACCGTAACGGAAATAGACCCGCAGGAGACTGCCTGAAGCAGCTCTTCAGCATCTTTCTAGCAGCAGTGAACCGCAAAAGCGTGCATCACCACACATTATTTTAGGTCTGTAACTTATGCGACTTGTATGATAAACAGCCGTTTTCCGTAGCCAAGGAAACGTCAAACCGTTTTCCTTTCAGCGCTACTTGAACATCTTACCCGAGCAGTTCCATCCAGTTGGAGTCTGACAGTCGCTGAGAGAGGACGGGAACGCACCAAGTTGTTGCACCGGGAAAGTGGCGAGAAAGGACAAGACTGCAATCCATACCCAGTGTCCCACTATCCGGCTCCACTGGTGCGGACTTCGGGGCTCGTGTAGGGCCGCCGCCACCGAGACACCCATCTCAGTTCCCCCAACACAGCTCACAGACGCGCAACGACTGCCCGTGTCCCAATGTTGTCAACTTTGCGGGTGCGCTTAAATGCCAAGTAAGGGACATTTTCCGACGGTGGGAATGTGCCCCATGAAGCAGTTGTTTCTGGATGACAAGAGCGAGGATCCGCCCGAAGCGAGAGGGTGCAGATGCGGAATGAGAGAGGTCTGGGTGCGATGACAGGGGAGGGGATGGTATCGGGAGGAAAGTGGGTAAGCGAGATGCTCAGAAATCAAGGCAAAAATAAAAATACGCCAAGGGGGGCTTGAGAACCACAAATGGGGCAAAAATCATATATCCCATTCGAGTGACATGCCGAAGTTACAACATCCACCGAAGCGCCGGTTAGAGAGACTGTCCTGCGTCCTCAGTCCGTGCGCTCGCGCAGAGCCGTGAGTTTGTCAGAGTCTCGCGGAGGGCCATTCCTCTGTACCTGTGAACCACAATAACGCACTGAAGGCAAGCGGCAGGTTTCCAGACCGCTTCAGATCACGTGTCCTCGAGGAGTCGGGAGGGGCGGGACGATGCCGCGGCTCTGATTGGTGGACAGGGATGCAGGAGTGTCAGGAGCGAGGCGATGGTCCAGCGCGAGCATATCGACGGCCAGTGTAGAACAGTGTATCCCGTAGTCCACTTTAACAGGGCTTTGCTTTGCAAACGCGTGGGCGAAGGACCATGCCGAGAAAGTCCTCCCAGTAATTGAGCACTGCTGCTCTGAGCACGATGGCAGCAGAAATCGATCGGAAACTTGCTATGTTGTGAAATGATCCCGGTGTCCTAAACAAAAGTCTTAAATCGGAGGATGAAGAGAACAGAGAGACAAGGCGGAGTTCACGACTCGACTGTGTGTGCTTGAAAACGCTCGCGGCGTTGGAAATGAATATGAGTGCGAGCTGAACAGTTCAGATGGCATTTTGACGACATTTAACGACATGACGCTTCCCATAAGAAGCTACTTTCACAAAGCGTTATAGATAACGCACTACCTCTCAACCACCACTTGCATGTCTCGTTTGGATATAGCTGAATGAAGCTCGCTTGCATGCGTTTTATTGCCCTTTTTTCACATTTAAACGCCTTTTTATTTCTAAATCTTTTCTTATTTCTCACTTACAATTTTATCTTAGTGCTGTAATTGTACTTAACACGAAAAAACAGTAGCCAAAGTTTAGTTTAATTGCGCCCAGGCACGCAAAGGCGCACGACCAAAACATCATTCAAACACACAAAAAAACGGTTTAGGCTATATAACAAAATATAATGCGTACAAGTACATTATAAAAATATCCCGTTTGCCTTAAATTTTTAAGCTGAATAAAATTAACCTTATTAGTCTTTTGAACTTATATTGTGTTAAATTGACTTAAAACAGCTGGCATAACTTATAAAATTAAGTTAGAACATGATTAACTTAGTTAAATATATTACTATGAACTAAAAACATATGCTGTCTAATTGATCATTTTTTTACAGTGTAGTAGTAGCATTAGTGTGTGTGTGTGTGTGTGTGTGTGTGTGTGTGTGTGTGTGTGTGTGTGTGTGTGTGTGTTTCTCACAAAGTTTTCAATCATGTAAAGTGTGAATAAATGACAGGATCACCAACAATACCTGAACAAAGTGTTGACAGATAGATTTGCTGTATGTAGAAATTAAGTTTAATCCTGATTTAGTTCAATATTAAGTGGAAATTGAGATTTTACAGTACTCAAACAAATTGTTTAATAAACGTTTTGTAATAGTTTGAGTTATGTTGACCAATGTTTTATACCATAGATAGATTAAAAAAATATGTTTGTATTGTATAAACAATATTGCAGTTATAAAGATGGCCTGTGTTTATTTATTATGCAACTGTAGAAGCAATTACAATATTGGGTATCTGCAGAAAGGTCTCTGTCAGCTCATAAAGGACTGCCTTTTTACACCAACCTGTATATCCTCAGTTGAAATCTGCATGGTGCTTAGGGCTCATTAGACTACTGAGCTTTCCATAATTCTCCAAAATGCCTTCTGGCAATCTGTAGCCAAGATGTCAAATAATAGCTGTCAGCAAATCATTGTCATGAAGCACCTGCACAATAGTTGTTAAATGCAGAAAGTTTCTCTCAACTCAGCCTGTAATTCCTTTAGAGCTGTCATCTGTCTCTTGGTGTCCTCCCTCACCACTCTCCTTCTTGGTCACTGCTTTTTTGGGGGGCTGTCATCATTTGTCATTCCAACATATTTATTTTTAGGTGAACTATTTTTTCTTTTTCTTTTCATTTTGAGATTTTCTCTCTGTGATTTGAGAGTCCAGCACTAATAAATGATGATGTGACTATCAGATAAGTAGATAATAAAATGCATGAGCATTATAGTTATGTTTCTAGGAAATATTGTTTACATAAAACATTCCCCCAATAAGATTTTTTTTTTTACAAGTCACTGTTATATCTTCATGTAAAGAGCACATTTGGAATCTTTTGCTTCAGCAGTTTAAATCTGGACTTCTGGGCATGTCCTCAAGAGAAAAATTATGATATGCTCTCCACTGTTCATTTGTCGTCTACCTGATCATTTCCACATTTCTCCCGGAGCCTGGCTCCATACCAGCTCAGTATTATTAGCACACTTGAGAGCTCCTCTGGAGAGCAGCTGGCTCTGGGCTACCACCGTCTCTTGACAGATAAAACAACACACCCTTTCCAGAAGATTTCAGTAGTTTTCTAAATGCGATATCATGTGTCACAATGGATCTGAGCTTGCAATTAAGACTGTGGAACATTAATTAATCATTCAGATTTGCCGGAGACATTGAAAGGTTCATCTCCTCTATATAGGACCTGTTTAGAGAAGTGAGCAGAGAGTTTTATAACTAGACTGCATTTCATCACACAGTTATTTTATTGATAAAAATAAGATGTCAGAGCCACAATAATAATAATAATAAAACATTTGAAAAGAAGTCTTGGAGTCTTCTTTAGCTGCTTTTAGTCATTTGATAGCAAAATTATTCATGATGATTAAACACAAAGAATTCAACATTTTCAAAGGAATATATATGGCATAATGTGGGTTTAATTAAGCGTATGAACTAGTAATGGTGTCAAAGATAAAAAGATAGATTAGCTTTGTAGAAGATTGTCTTAGTTCTCTCTAGACTCTTTAGCGGATTTCACATTCTTCATCTCAAGAGTGAAGACGCTTCTACAATATAGTTTGTAGTAGGAATGTAATAAGACTGATCTTATGACCAATTTTTGAAGGTCTCGTCTCGGCATCAACCACCGTTCTACTCTGTCTAGTCTCAGTCTCAGACTAATAGAACTCAGAATCTTACAAGGCCATAACTGCATTTCACTAAATTGTCTGATTTATTATGTACTTTATTATATTATGTCAAATGCTGCCAGTAACCTATACACTGCTTTTTGTTCTGTTATGCTTGGTCGGATATGAACAGAAACTGTGACAAAAATGTAAACTAAATTAATAGATATTCTAACGTATGTCAGCAAATTCAGGACATGATATTTCTGTATGAGATTTTTTTCATTTTATGGCATGTCAATTAAACAATATCATCAGAGAAAGAGAGCTGTTTTAATGAGTGTGACACTGATTTCTGAATATCATTTTAGATACCATTTCAAACAGAAGTATTAGGTCAGTTTCACTACTGAAAATATTTTCAAACAAATCTATAGCCTTTGTATTTGACTCACCACAATGTTTTGCTCCTAAATGAGTTGCCTGCTTTGAACGAATCAGCTCGCTGAATGATTCTGTGACTGATTCATTAGATGCTTTATTACCACCTACTACCTACTAGTGGCTTTGTTTCTATGGTTAAAGGTTAACTTGAAAAAATACCTCTGTATTCAGTTTTCGATATTTTATGTGTTAATCATCCACTCCCTAAACCAATCTCAATTCCTGGAGGGCCGCAGGACTGCATAGTTTAGCTACAACCAGTTCCGACTCACACCTGCTTAATAGTTTCTAGTCTTGAACGCCTTAATTAGTTGGATCAGCTTCGTTTGATTAGGGTTGGAGAAAAAAATGTGCAGAATTGCGGCCCTCCAGGAATTTAGTTTGAGACCTATGCTCTAAGCCATAGGTCTCAAACTCAGTTCCTTGATGGCCACAGCTCTGTACAGTTTTGCTCCAACCCTAATCAAGCACATTCAATCTAGTAGTGTCTAGTAGCTGCGGCCCTCCATGAATTGAGTTTGAGACCTATGCTCTAAGCAGTTGTGATATAAATAATTTGTCTTATTTTATTAACAAATGTGTCAGTTATTGTAGATTTTTCAGAAGAATTTGAGCTTTGCTGGTGTTATCTTGGCCTTAGTGCACTCTGGTCTTGGTTTAGCTCTCTGTACTACAACATTAGTTTGTAGGCCACTGACTCGACATTGGTTTCAGCATTACAGCAACTCTCGCCATTTCACATAGTGATATGCATACCTTTTATAAATCATTTACATCATATCTACCATGTCATCTCTCAGCCGGACTGGAAGAATCCCCTGTGGAACACACTTGGAGAGTTGACATGGCAACTGGAGTCTCGTGGATTCATTATATGTAAGGCTTTGCTGGAAGAGTATGGTGAGCAGGGTAATGAGGAAGGCTGCCTGGGGACCAGTGAGAAGGTCACATCTCTGGAGGAAGTGTGTGATGTTTCAGTCTTCTAGCAGCATGGGATCCCTTAATGATGCAGGCATTTTAAAACGCTCCCTTAAGTTCTGTTGGTGCTTAGCTAGCCTTGCTGAGTAGCTCTACTCTTTATCTGCGTGTGAAAAAATGCCAAGCATGTAATGTGAATAAATTAAGAATGTATGCTCTAAAATGACTTGTAAATACTTAAAGGCAATTTTCACACAAAATGAACATTGACTGTTAATTTACTCACCCTCAAGCCATGCAGTAGCAGTATATATAAGCAACGCAGTGTAAATATATATATATATATATATATATATATATATATATATATATATATATATATATATATATATATATATATATATATATATATATATATATATATATATATATATATATATATATATATATATATATATATATATATATATATATATATATATATATATATATATATATATATATAATATTGTAAAGAAATGTTATGTCTATTTTGGATGGCCTGAGGGTAAGTTAACAGCAAATTTACATATGTGAACTGGCCCTTTAAATGGATATGACAGCAGCATAATTATTTTGCATTATTAATGATTTCCCACTGAAACAATAACTCAATAAAGAATTCACCAGTTATTCAACAATTCTGCTCCTTGGCATGCAATCTATAATCCATAGGAAAGTGAATAATGTGCAGTGATTTAGGGATATTTATGAATTAACTGAATTGACTGCATACCAGCTGAACAGTTTTTTTTAATCTCATTCCCTCATAATGCAAGACATCCAGATGTTTTTGTTCTCCGCTACTGAATATCACACACAGATTTCAGTGCAGCTGTGGATCTGCTCAACAGAAATAAATTGATTGCTATCCTCCACCTTGGACATCCTAGACGAATGCCAAGGAAATGATATGGCTTGTTGGCGATATTTATG